ATGATGTACACTTGACTGTAAGCAATAGAGAAGCCTGAAGCAGAGTTTGTTACAATGGTTGGGTTAATTGCCTTGTCAGTGCCATGTTTTCACTGTTGTGTGTTTGATTAAATGTTTCTTTGCCTCACACAGTTTAGTTTTCTAATAAAATGAAAAATTAAATATAGTTTCCGAGCTTAGTTCTAAAAAGAATGCACTAAAGTCTCTGAATACCTTAAGAAAAGCACTCTAGATCAGAGGAGCTCTGTTTGATTTTTGGTTTTTGCTGTGGATATTGAAGCTCTGTATGCTTTTTCACTATGTTTTGGAAAAAGAAAACCAAACCAAACCAAAAAAAACTTTAGGGTTTTTTTTCTGAAATTTTGCAGTGTTTGGAAGGTTCATTCTTAATGTGTCCCAGTACTTAGAGAAAAGTTTCACAGCTGCAGCTCTATGCTCCTCATCCTGCTCTAGGGAGAATGAGATGGCATTCAGCATTTTGGATAGGATGAATCTCCTTTCCTTGAACACTAGCTGGCTCCTTTTTAGTTGGATCAAATTGTGAATGCTGCTTCCTCACAAATTTTTTGGGAGGTCCAGAACCTGTGGGTGTGTGCTTGGACCCTTCCATAATCTAACTTGCTCACTCTTAAGCAGTTCTATTTTTCTGCAGATAAGTGAAGCTCTTAGAAGTAAAAATATATTTTGTTATTTGTGCTTTACAGATGGAATAATTTAGGGGGGACTAAAGCAGGCTGACAGATTTTTGGGCTGTGCTGTCTCAGAAGTGGAGATGGTGGAGCCATCAGATTGTTTCTGAGCACGTCTGATACACAAAGCAGTGTGGAAATAGGGTGAACAAGAAGTGTGTATCATCCTGGCTTTGTGCTGTAGAGCTGTGACATTGCTGCTGGTTGAAAATACTGCAATAAAAAACTTTGTTGCTGAGACTTGCATTAATAAATGTTTGTCAAAACCCAGCAAACTAAAGACTGAATAATTTGACTTACACTCATCTCCCCTCAAGACCTTTTTTTCTAAAAAAAAACCACAATAAAACTGCTTTCAGTGTCAGCTGTACATGCTCAACAACCACGTCTGAGTAAAGTACTGTGATGTTTACTTACATGCTTAAAAATGAGTGGTCAGCAAGCCAAGGAGTCACAAGCAGTTGTTTAAAAATAGATGATAGCAGATGTGGACACTTGGCCTTGTATTCAGTGCTGGAGAAGGCTCGGGCATTGTAAATGATAATCACTGTAGATTTTCTTCTAACCATCCCTAAAATTTACACTGCACATCCAGGAAGTTCAGATTTAAACTTCAAATAAATCAAAAAACAAGAATACAACTGAAACTGTTACTTTGCTCTTTGGTTTCATGCAGTTGTTTCACTTGCAATATTTGCTCTTACTCAAATTAAATTTAACTGATTTCTCCATTTTCTCGGGTTAGTACTTCACTGTCTGCTTCATTTCCCTCTCCCAGCACTATCCTGTGATACCCACACACACACTTTGGGTTTTCTCCTGTTTGCCTTCTTTTCCCTACAGAAAAGCTGGTATAATATGTACTTTGCTTTTAAACACAAATATTTAGTAATAGTTACCTTTGCTGCTGCTGCTGGTTTTTGGGGGGTGTTTCTGCTTCAGGAGAGAGTGTCTGCTCCTGCTTTTATTTATGTTTTGGCTCTGTGCCCTCCTTAAAACCATTGGAAGGTATTGTTGCTACACACAGGGTTTGGACTCAAACAGTTTCCCTGCCTCTTGGTGAGCATATCCCAGAGTCTCTGTGTGAAGCTGGGGCACAGCTCTTCCACAAGCACAAAAATACAGTTATTTAAACCCAGGGTTGGTTGTCAGCACTCTGCTCTGCATTTGGAGCCCTATGGAGGGGCACGGTGAGGCTCTTCCCCAGAAGGGTGGTGTGGCAGCCTGGCTCAAGGTCACCTCAGGCCATTCCTGCTGTTCTGCTCTTCAATAAAATGTGCCCAACCCCGGGAATGTCTGGACTGGTGTAACATAAAACCAGTACTGATCCACCCTGTTGGAAGGGCATGTTTTCAGCTGTGGGGCAGGACGTGTCCAGGGAGAGTGGAGGAACTGGGGAAATTTTGGAGGTTAAACTAGTCCAAGACATGCCCTGAAACAGAGGGCTGAGAAGTGAATTCAGGTTGCCAGAAGGCTGGGTGAGAGGGAAGAGTCTGAGCAGGTTCTCAGGGAACACTTCCATAGTGTCCTGTGGAGGAGTGGAATAACTGGTAGTGAGGGGGGAAGGAAAAGGGGAAAAAAGACACAATAAGTCAACGGCTTTGTGCTCTGCCTGAACCCCCATTCGTGCTAGTGTTTAAGCACATCTAGTGCTGCCTGTGGCAGAGGAAGGGCAGATATTTTGGTTCTTGACTGCAACTGTGAGGTTTCCAGCAAATGTACTGAAACATTGCTGCTGACACTGGCACGGCACAAACCAACCCCTTGGGGTGAGTGATGGGCCCTGAGAGAGGCCTCAAGCCCAAACTTACTGTGTCCTTTGAAGCTGCCTCAGCTCAGCTCATCCACATCACTGACAATCCAGTGACTCCTGCTTTCTGCCTGCCTGAAACCTCAAGATTTATTGGAAAACTGCCTCTCCTCTGGGAGTGCCTGCGCAGCACCATCAGCTTGATTGATGAGCAGAGGTGTCCCAGCCCAGACAGTGCTGAGCGCAGCCTTGCTGCTCCCAGCCCGCTGCCGGCCCTGCCCCGACAAGCCTGGGGATATTTTCTATCCATGGATTCTCTAGGACCTGTCCCTAGACAAGCTACAGAACAATATGTCTAAAATGTTCTGAGAAAACACCAGTGGGCTTGTGGTGCTTCCAGGACTTCCCTCAAATTGGATCCCACCTCTCTGTTTCCTGTCTCAGCAGATCCAGCCCAGGGGTTTTCCAGCGGCTTCCCCCACTCCAGGAACTTCACAAGTTCTTGCCTCTCTAGTATGAGGACTAGTTCAGCTGAAGTGGGCTGCAGAGGGGCACCCTGGATCAATGACAGCCAAACCAAATCCAAGCTAAGCTTTGCATTGGCAGATGCTGAATCAGGCCACCAGGAAAAAAATCAATGGAGCCATTTCTACAGCCTGATTTCCACCCTCTCCTTCTAAAACAGGGAAGGTTCTTCTGTGCCTGCAAAGTGCCTTGACTGACTCCAGCCTCCTGTTCTCTCCTCTCAGTAAGCTTTGCATCAGCTCTGAGACAAGAAACCCTGGATTCTGTATTTCCAAACCACCAGCATCCACAATCCTGCTCCAATGGCACCTTCTGCCAGAGCTCTGCCAGTGCCACCGGGTCGGGCTGCACAGCATCCCTTGAGGCAGCCCCACACCGACCTCTTTGGCACTCAGGAAGGCTGTGGACAAGAATTGAGGATGATCTCAAGGTCACACAAGGTCAGGGCACCCCTAAAGGGGGCTGTCACCCCTCCTGTCCTTCAAGCCTTGCTCAGTTTAGCAAGCCAAAACTCACCTAAATAAATAAGCCCCTCCAGAGCTACCATGTACTCCCAAGACCAAGACAGATGCAGTGACCTGTCATTTTTTATTCCCCATGGTACAGCATTAATTCATCACAAAATATACCACTAGATGGGGCCTTCCAGACAGCAATTCAGGGAGAACCACTGCTCCCTGGTAAATCTGCTTTTTGCCTTTTCTAAATCCAAAGTGTCCCCTTCCAGTGAAAGGAGCCCCAAAAGATGCTTCTTGGGCAGAAAGGGGAGGGCAGGATGGTGCTGCATGGTGGGGCCAGATCTTCAAAGCTCAGTTTCCCATGAGTTTGCAGCCCAAAAGCAGAGGCCAAGCAAGAGCCTGGCCCTGTGGGTGTCCCTGAGGCCAGTGCAGGGTCTCTGGGGATGGGGATGGGGGATGGTTTGGGGGGCTGCTGCCTAGGGGGGAGAAGGTAGAGAGGAACCAGGGCAGAGCACAGCATCTTCCAGTCTCACTCCTCCCATCACCCTCCTGCACTCCCTCAGGAGCAGGACATCACAACTTCGGAGAAATCATTTTCACCTTCCAGTGCCCAGAAAACTGCTCCTTGCAGTATGTTCAGCTGGGTACCAGTTTGGCCCCACTCCCCTCAGTGCTCCTGGGTAAAATGTGCCTCAGTTTCCCCACTCGAACCAGCTCTTCCAAACCCTCCCCTGTTTCCAACCTCACCAGCTCCAGTGGTTTGCACTGAGAGCCCTTGCCCAGCCCTCAGACACAGGCTGGCTCCCTGGGCCTGCAGAGCCCTCTTCTCTTCCCCATCCTCTCCAGAACCTGCTCCTACAACCCCCATAACTGGGCTGACTTTGTCCTGCAGCACTGGCAACAGTTCCAAGTGTGGGAAATTATCTCCAGGCTTCCAGATTGCTGGAGATGGAGCATGACAAAGCCAAGTGTCATAAAGCACAGGTCCAGATGTCCAGGTCGCTGTGTCCAGAAAGGGATCAGCTGCCTGCCTACCTTTACCTGCAAACCTCTGGGTGATGCTCATAGGACTTGGAGAGCAGCAGTCCCAGAAGCCCCAGTGCTCTCCAAGTCTCCTGACTGGTTTGGAATTGCAACACACCTTGCTAATTCTGGAAGTGACCCCCAGCTGTGCCTACTTTGGCACAGGACAGCAGTCCAGTTTGGGCAGGCACCCCAGGGCTCCAGTACAGAGCAAGGGCTCCTGGGCTCTACCCCAGCACAGGCTGCATAACACCCGTTGGGCAGAAATTAATCCGTGTTCTCCAAAAATCACTGAATACATTTAAAGAGCCATTGCTGCTGCTTCTTCCCACGAAGGCTGCAAGGCAGGCAGGACACCTTCTAGGTGTTTTAAAGCTGGTATCCATCCCTGTGGCTATTTATTGAACATCCACCATATCTAAAGCGGTCCAAAAAAAAAAAATCTTAATCTCTGCTGAAAAAAATGTTCTTAAGGAGCCGCAGGGGTTGGAGCTGCCCCGGATTGCCGAGCTGGCGAGCAGGCGGGCAGCAGGAGCCTCGGCTGCTGACTCCTCTGTTGAAGCGATGCCTGCACGTTTCCGTGGGAGCCCCGCCACGAGCGGGGACGGGCTGCGAGTCCACCCCCAGCACCGCCGGCGCTGCCACCACCCCGTGCTGTGACCCCGGCACCCACCGCCCCGCGCTGCCCACCCCGGCCGGGCAGCGGGAGCTGCCCCGGGAGTGATGCTGCTGGAGGAGCCCATGTGATGCTGGGCTGGCGCCGCTCGCTCCTCGTCCCTCTCCCGCTCGCTCGCAGGCTGTCATGGCGACTCCCAACAATGTTACTCCCACCAACTGCAGCTGGTGGCCCATCTCGGCGCTGGAGAACAACGCGGGGAAATCCGCGGAGGGGGAGGAAAACCAGGACCCGACGGACCCCGCTCTCAAATCCCAGGACAGATTGGTTTTGTACCACTGGACCCAGTCCTTCAGCTCACAAAAGGTAACGAAAAACCATCGCTCGGGCGGGTTCCCGGGCGAGAATCACCTCCAGTCTCCAGGACATCCCCTTGCCTCGGGAGGATGGATGCGCTCGGGGAAGAGCGAGGGGCTCAGCCCCGGGGGCTGGCGAGGGCAGCAGCGTGTGGCCGGGCAGCTCTTTGTACCTTTTAACAGCATCTGCCTGGGGACAGGGATAGGGATGGGGATGGGGATGGGGATGAGGATAGGGGAGCTCGGTCAAATCCTGCCTTTGTTTTGGGATCACGGCTTGCACCGGGAGCCGCCTCGGCTTTGTGCTCGCTCGCAGCCCCACACTGGCGTGGCCGGGAGCGCAGACAAAGGCTGAGCCAGGCCCCGGGACCACCCTGCTGCTGCTGGGAGAGGGGAGAGGCAGCCCCGAGCCAGGCGCGCACCAGGGAGCGGATCCCGGACCCCCGCACGCAGCGATGATTCACCCCTGACACTGCAGCAGTGCCCTGGAAATTCTATTCCCGGGGTGCCCCAGCCAGAAATCCCGTTTTCCAGACAATAGTAAATGCTCATTTTGCAGCACGGCAGCTGTGTAGCAAACCCAACCTTCTCCCCAGCCCCAACCCCCCCAATAATTCCCATGCCATTGATATACCATACGGAGAATGGGCTATTCGGAGGGGTGGGGGAACAGCAAGTTCCCCGGTGCAAGGGCCTCCTCGAGCCCTTCAGCCCAGCGGGAAGGTGGGGGCAGAGGGGCCCGTTCCTGCGTGCGGGCACAAAGGAGGGAGGATGCCCGATGCAGCAGGGTGGGTGCACAGGGTCGCCGCCGGCAGCAGGGGACTGATGGGCTTCGGATCCGTGCTGGCGAGGGATGCTCGTGGTGCTCCCCACCCCACGCCGGGCTTGTTTTTTTTTTTTTGTCTTGCTCATTTGGCCGCCAGCGGCGGGGAGGCAGCGGCTGAGGCACTTCTCGTGCTGGGTTTCCTACATTCTGTGGGGCAGGGGATAGGCCTGGCAGGGCAAAGGGCAGGGCAGGGGACAGGGCAGGGGACACCTAAAGCCACCACACCTGCTGGCACCTGGTCTCAGGCACCGTGTCAGGCTTTCCTTTTGAGGTCACTTGCAAGGAAAAAGCACTTGCTGTAAGGAGGAGGGGCACAAGCTGGTCTGATGGACATCACAGGGTGGGGAGCAGCGGGGCCTCTACAGGACCCCCATGCACAGGGGGTTTGCTTGGAGTCAGCTACAGGCAAAGCTTCCCCTGCTCTGCCCCGGGAGCTGCTCAGAACCACCCTCTGTGAGCACAGGGCTGTTTGTGGGAGCGACTCTGAGCCCCACCAGGACCTGGCCTTGTCTGCAAAGGGATTTTTGGAGTTTTACACAAGATGCCAGCCATATCCCAGTGCTGTGGGAACTAAGAATGTATCATCATCACCCCTGTCTTGCCTTAAGGCTCTGGGGTACCCTGGGAGCCTGTGCTGCCTCATGCCCAGCAGCTGCCTCCTGCCAGGCCTTCAGCCTCAGCTCCTGATAGAAGAACAGGGAAACACAGGGAGCTTGGGGCTGGATACCCCAGATGGTCCTGGCCAAGGTTTGTTTATCAGCCGGGAGGAAAAGGCCAAGTTGCAGCTGAGGGACTCAGACTCTCTCTTGTTTGACTTTAAAAGAAAAAATTAACTTGCCAGCCCTGTGAATAATTAATGACTAATTCCCCAGGAACTCTGAAGTACTCATAGAAATGCTTATATATGTTAAGTTGTATTTTTAGCCGCTGCTAGTTGGATGAAAACAAGCGCTTTTCTCTCATTCAGTGTTTCTGTAAATTGTGGCTTTCTCACATCCCCCGAGGGCTTTTTTTTTTGTGTGTTTGACATACTTAGTTCATAATGGTCAGGTTTTATAACCCAGAAGCCTAAAATGCCATCCCTGAGTACATATTCAACACCATGTCACACACAAAACAAAGCAGCAGGATCAGCCCTGAGGGCCAGCAATTGGGATGGGGATGGTGTCCTACATCCAGCCCCACTCCTGCCTCATCCTACCCTTCCCCAAGGCTGGACTCAGCTTTCCCACCCATGAGACAGGTGGGTGCCTCCCCAGCAGTGCTGCTGGCTGGCCCTGGGCTGGAGGAGGGCAGTGGCAGGGGAAGGGGGAGGCAGTGGGTTTGGCACAAGAGCTGCAAAGACTGTGGGTAAAGCCCTCAGGCTGGAAGCAGCATGGAGGAGGGGAGGAGGAGGCATGCTCCTGGGGCAACAGGGGCTGCTTGAAATTCCCCACAAAACGGAGCCTTCTCCCTGCTCAAAATGTGCTGCCAAAGCCAGAGTCCACTCCTGAGAGTGGGACACACCTGAGTCAGCATCCAGGTCTCCTTCAGCCAGGCAGCAGGACCCACCGGGTGCAAGTGTGAGGCACAGCACTGCTGCAGCCTCTGCTCCCTACTCTTCCTCCTCCTTTTCTTCCTCAGGTATGTGCTGGGATCCACAGCAGCATCACTCATTCTTCCCATCTCGGAGGGACTGGCTCTCAGTCCTCTATCCCTCCAGCCCCTCTGCCTGCCACACAGTCCACCAGCCACAGAGGGAGAATGGTCCATGATCCTGAAAAGATAGGAGGGGGTTGGGTATCCCCTCCTTGCTGGGAAAGCAAATCTTTTCTTGGCTGCCTGGATTTTGCAGCTGTCCCATGCCAACAGCTGCTTGGCTCCCTGCAGGAGAAGCACATATCCTGGCACATCGTTGTGCTTAAGCTGCAGGGGAGGGTCTGGGGGTGGCATGGGGTGGTGGTGGGGCACTGAGGGCACTGGGGAGCAGCTCAGAGTGTGGGGCTGAGCCCTTTCTCCCCGGCCTCTCGCCCCAGGTGCGGCTGGTCATCGCAGAGAAGGGGCTGCCCTGCGAGGAGCGGGATGTCAGCATGCCCCTGATGGAGCACAAGGAGCCCTGGTTCATGCGGCTCAACCTGGGGGAGGAGGTGCCCGTCATCATCCACAGGGACAACATCATCAGCGACTACAACCAGATCATCGACTACATGGAGAAGAACTTCACGGGAGGTAAGGGAGGGCTGGGCTGTGTCTCAGAGGAAACTCAGGTCTAGCCCAGATGCTGTTTGCCAAACACACCCACTTCTTACTTCAAAGTTTCACCTTCGCCCCAGAAGAGCAGCAAGACACCATCTCTCCACAAGCTTCTTTGTTTTCCCGTGAAATTGAAGATTTTCCAGCAGAAATCCCCAAATGTCCCGTGCAATGCTGCAAGAGAGTTCTGAGGGGTGCACAGCTGGGTCCCCCTTTTTCTGCCTTGGAAGCCACGCTCCCACACCAGACCATTTCCATCAGTTCCCATGGTGCGTGGTGGCGTCTCACCAGAGCCAGTGCTGGGGCATGGCCCATGGGAACATTTCTGGCTTTGGCCACCTTTGTACTTTGGGCTTTGGCAGTTGTATAAAAGTGGCCATAAGAGGCCCTGCTGGGGCTTAAACGAGGTGCTGCTGCCCCTCTCCCCTTCCTCAAAGATCTCTGGGCTCACTGGCCCTGGGCAGGGGACCCTGCTGTCCCTGGTGCTGCTGTGCCTCAGAGAAAACGGCCTCTTTAAAAACGCAGCCAGCGGTGCTGGGGAACCATGGGAGGATGATGTGACACAAAGCCAGAGGAAGGGGACAGCCGGGAGAGGGAAGCTCTTATTCCCCCTGGAGCAGGGCTGCAGGCAGCGGCCGGCTGAGTGCAGCTCCTCGGGGTGCTGAGACAGCACTCACAGTCGGTTGTTTGCTCAGCTGCTGTGGCGAGCAGCCTCTCCCTGGCATCTTGCACCCCTTTGCTCTCCTTTCCCCAAACCTGGGGGCTGGCGGGCTGGGACACCCACCAGGGAGGCTTCAAAGCTGAGCAGGGAGCTCAGGCTGTGCCATCACGACGTTCGCCCCAGCATCCATCCCCCCTGCAACAGAGACATCAAAAACATCTCAAAATAGCTCCCGAAGCAAGGGCGCCTTGCCAGCTCAGCTGCTGTCCTCTCCCGGCCCCGCCACCGTGCTGCTGCTCAGGGGAGGCACGGAGCTCCCTCAGCAGTGGGGCAGCAGGGGTGGGCTCTGTCAGGAGCATCCCACACCAGCAGCAGGTCCGAGGGAATGGAAGCTGCCTTCCCGGCCGGCAGCAGTCCCGGCACTGAGGAGCATCAGGGAGTGTGGATCCACAGGGCTGCGGTCCCCACACAGCTTCACCTGGTCTCTGCAAAGGGCAGGTGGTCCGACATATGTGACAACAGGCTGTCCCCAGCAGGAGGGGGACACAGAGCTGCCCGAGCACTGGAAACTCCTGACGTTGAGATTTTCCAGCCAGGTGCAGTTTCTTACCTTTTTGCTGAGAAATGGAGAGGGAAAATCTCCAGGGAAGAGGGCCCAGAGCATCACTCCCTGCTCCATGCTCTGCTCCGAACGTTGCCCAGCAATGCAGCTGGCAAAAGCACTATCAGGATGCCGTGGCATTAGTCCGAGGGGGAATCACCCACCTTGCAGAAACATGTAGAGCTTGAAAAGGCCTTTACAAGGTGTATTTTCTGAGGTATGTTTTCCCCTGGGCTGGGAGCATGATCTTTTCAGCTGCTCACACACACACTGAGAGTCAGCTATCAGTAAAGGGTGGTGTGATGAGAAATTGTTTCCTTTCCCCAGAATAGCAGTGAATAGTGCCAATAAGCCACCTTTGAGGGTGCTTCTCACTTGGGCATTGCCCAGCAGTGCCCAGAAACCACCAAAAAGTAGACCAGGATAATACTCCCCCTGGGCAAGGGTCCCCTCCAAGGGCTGCTCCCACTTGCATGGCCCATCACTCTCTGGTTGTACGTATGCAACAGCAACCCATACATGCAGGCCTGCCATGACATGCAAAGGCAAGTCAAGCACCATCCCACTGGAAAACCTCCCTGGGACACGCTGAAGGACACAGGCCAGCAGCCAGCACGCCACAATTTCATTGTGGTCACTCCGTCTTCCTGCCAGATGGGGCAGCCACTGTGGATGTGCTGCTTTCCAGCCTCTGCCCTGGCCCTTCGGTGCTGGCCAGGAGCCCTATGGAAGGAGCACGCAGGCTGTAGGTCAGTTATTATTATTTCATTCATCCAGTGGCTTTTTTCGGATGGAAAATCCCTACTTGGAGAGCTGGAGCCCAGGCAGCGCAGGCAGCAGGGAGGAGCTCCCAAAACCTCCCCTCGCTCAGGGGACAGGGACACTGATGCCCGACGGTGGGAACAACTCCATGGAGCCTTGGAGCTGAGACAGTCCAGATCAGAGCTATGAGGAGGTTTGCCATGCAGGAGCTGCCAAAATTTCCCTGGCTCCCATCCATCAACGGACACCAGCGGGCACGAGGACAGCAAGGCGAGATGTGCATCCCTGCCAGGAGGGCATTGCTGTGCCCCCTGGCAGCAGGGCTGGGCAGAGCAGAGCTTTCACTTCAGGCCCTGAAATAAGGGGCTGCATTGGCCACACCTGCCAAAGTCCTTCTGCCAATGTGCCCTGGCTCAGATGGAGACACCGGCACGTGGATGGCATGTGGGCAACAGATTCACTGAGTCCTGGTGGCAGACTTACCACCTGTGAACTGCTCTCTGCAAACACCATAAACATTTATGGTCCCATTAAGAAATGGACCTGGTGTTCGTGGGGGAGACAAGAGCAGCACATTGCTTCCTGTGGTGTCATCTGCCGTGTATTTTGAGCTGAAAGTGTAATAAAAAGGGCACGATGCAAACTTCCATCTGTGAGAAGTGACTGAAACCCAACAAGGCAGGGAGAAGCAGAGCTGTGTGGGGTAAGGGATGCTCCTGCTGCTGAGAGGGTAAGGGATGCTCCTGCTGCTGAGACACTGGCTGAGCATGGAGGGAAAAACCACTGGGCTCCTTTGGTCACCCTGATTGCCCATTTTGGGATTTACAAGGAAGCCCAAGAGAATGAGGTACCTCGTTGCCACTGATGTAAAGAGAATGTAACTCAGGAGATCCCAAACTCAAACCCCTGTCTTTTAGCTCTTTTGTGCAGAACATGAAGATTTTGCTCCTGTTCTAAGAGATGTGAAACCACAGTGTACAGATTCAGGGGCTGCAGAGACCCTCGGGGACATGGGGGCTGTGGGGCTGGGCAATGGCATCTGTACACTTCCCTGTGGTCCCGTGGGTTTGCCCATCTCTGGGCATGGGCTGGATGTGCTCCTGGACGGGATGGGCAGTGGGGAGAGGGAGGAGTGAAGATACGGATTTGAGTGGATGCACCACTTCAGCCAGCCCTGCTGGGGGTATCTCAGGCAGGACTTCACACCGGTGTCCAGCGCAGGCTAATGAGCCACTAACGAGAGCCTGAGCACCCCCAGGTGCCACTAACAGCTTTCCCTTTGTCCTGGCAGAGAACGTCACGCAGCTGATCCCGGAGCCGGGCAGCCTGCTGCACTCCCGCGTGCTGCAGTACCGGGAGCTGCTGGACTCGCTCCCCATGGATGCCTACACCCACGGCTGCATCCTGCACCCCGAGCTCACCACCGACTCCATGATCCCAAAGTACGCCACCACTGAGATCCGCAGTAAGTCGCCTTTCCAGCAGGGCTGCCCAGGGCTCCCAAGCTCCCTTCGGCTGGGATTGGTTCCACAGCCCAGCCAGACACCCTGAGCCTGCTCACCGCCCCTTTCCACCAATGCAGGCAGGGACAGAGCTGGGAAGTGGCAAAGCTCAGCTCATCTGAGAGCAGCAGGCATTCTGTAGAGGCTTCCTGACTCAGGGGGTGTGGGGGCTCCCATGGGCCATGCATACTTCTCCCCAGCTCTTTTTGGGGCACAGGAATTAGTCCCTCCCTCTCCTCCCAGAGCTCTGAGGGCAAAGGCAGGAGAGCACAGCCAGGCTGAGCTGCAGGCAGTGGATGAATCGGCATAAGTGTGTGTACCTGACCTTCAAGTGCTCATGAAACATTGACGATGCTTAATATAACTCCACAGCAAGGATTGCTCCTGGAGAGAGTTCCTGGCCAGAAAAACGACCTTGTCAGGAGGGTATTGGTATGTCCCACATCTCTCCCTTCCTTTAGGCTCCAGCTCCAAGCAGCACCCATAGAAAACACCATTCCCATCCACATCCCTTGAGCTACCTGGGTCCCAGATAGTTCCATAAGGTGGGATGTACTCATGCACAAAGAGAAATAGGCAGTTCCTGAGGTGTCGCTCGTGGTCTGCCCTGCCTCCGCTGGCACCTGTCACAGACAGCTCTCCACATGTCACCAAGTGTCACCTTCACCCCCAGACCTTGGGCAGATGCAGAGCAGAGCTTGTCCCCTCCCCAGAGAGCACTGCTGTGATGGCTTCAGCCCCTTTCTGCCTCACATCACATCCCCAGCACTCTGCTGAGATCCCTAAACACGTCTCCTTGTCCAAACCTCCCTCACTGGTGGCATTTTTCCCGAGCCAACAGAGGGGCTATGAGCAGGTCCGTGGGCCCATGGTGCCCTTCCTCCCCAGCACATCTCCTGCACCCAGGTGATGACTCAGCTGCTCTGTTGCAGTGGGTGCTGAGGAAAGTCTATGTAGTTGTGTCCCAGGGAGAGGGTGAACCGAGGGCCAGGCACTCCCAAGGGGAACGGTGGAACAGAACCAAAATGATATCCAGGTTTCCATCTGAGTTGCAGCCCCAGGAGAGCTGGTTGGCAGCCTTAGCAAGCTTGAAGGCTTGTGGCATAAAACAGGGAGTTTCACCATTTTATGGCAGCATAGAGCCTGCTGCTGGCTGCCTCCCCAGCCCACCCTGGCACGTCCTGCACCCTCACATCGGCACAGCCAAGCCCTCGTTGGAGGGAACGAGGAGGGAGAGACAGATGGTCCCTGGCAGGAAGACATTAGCCCAGCTTCGGGTAATTTATGTTGTCTCTAAGGTGTTACTCTGCCTCTCATATTCCTTTCTCCCTTTGCTCCTTTCCCTCTGTTAGCTCCCTCACAAAAAGCCCTTCCCATCCTCCCCAGAGCCAGGGAGGGAGGAGGGTGAGTGTCTCTCCTGTGCTCCTGATGGGCTCCTCACCATGGAATTGCATCCCTGGACACTGAGGCAGGGCAGGACAGCTTCACTGAGGAGGGAACATCCCCTCCTGTGCCACTGCCTGCTGCACTGCTCTGAATGCACACCCACATGTGGGCAGCCAGCTCCAACATCCCAAAGGATCAACCACCCAAGTTATGGAGAAGATCAGGGATGTTGTCAAAACAGTAAAGCCACAGATAGATCTTCCAGTAGGTCTCATAGGAATTCAGCAGAGGAAATGAAGAGCTGAAACCTGCAGAGCTGGGACTCCCCAAGGCCAGGGAGGGGGACCTGCTGTGCCCTGCAGCCAGCACTGCCCTCTGAGTGGATGGCAGGGCTGACAGAGCCACACGCCCTCAGACACTGTGCAGTGCCCCAGCCACCACCTGTATGGCAGCGTGGCAGAAGCAAGCCATGAATTTGTCCCAGTTTGGCTCTCTGGGGTGTTTTTCTTGGTGGTAAAACAATATTCGAATGCAGGACAAGGTGCTTTGCTATCAGATACAAGGTCACCCCGAACCATGCCAAACACAGCCCCCAGCCCCTCTGTCTGTCTCCCCCCAGGACATTTAGCCAATGCCAGCACAGATCTGATGAAGCTGGATCACGAAGAGGAGCCACAGCTCTCTGAGCCCTACCTCTCCAAGCAGAAGAAGCTCATGGTGAGTGGGTTAAAGCCACACAGCTGGTGGGGGGTACATGACCCACGGACCTGCCGTGGGTAACAGGTGCCTTTTGTCCCTGCATCCATCCACTCCCCATCCTAACCCTGCTCTCCACCCAGGCCAAGATCCTGGAGCACGACAATGTGAACTACTTGAAGAAGATCCTGGGAGAACTGGGGATGGTGCTAGACCAGATTGAGGCCGAGCTGGAGAAGAGGAAACTGGAGTACCAAGGTAGGCACTGGGCTGTATTTATGGGGTGTTTTTTGAGGTGCAACACCAGGAACAGCTAACAGCTTTGTGCCTGATGAACATCCCCCATGGGGAACCACTGGTGGGTCTGGGGCTGCCTCTGGTCTCTTCTGGTTTTGGGTGCACTGATGTCATTGCAGCCATTCAACTTAACATGCTTACTAAACTTACTAATCTCTGGCAAACCACCCCTGCACCCCTTGCCACATGGGATAGCAGGACCCCTGTTCTCACATGGTCTGTGGGAGCCCTGAAGTCATTCCAGGGTGGTTTCAGGCCCCCTCTGCCCCAAGGAGGTGCTGAGAGTGACTGATGCTCTGCCTGGTTTAGGAAGCAGCAGGCTGGCCCCAGGCACTTGCACCAGGAGGAGCACAGGATGCTGAAAGTGCAGGGCTGGGGACATGAGCTGCAGCCGAGCCCCCTCTGGCCACAGAGCTGTTGCACATCCCACATGGAACACGAGCAGGGAAACCAAGGGAGCTGAGGGGTCCTGGAGCAGTGGGAGCCTTTATGGAACCTTCGTCACACACCAGCGGGGGGGAGAGAGCGACACCAGCCATCCCTGACATCAAACACACGGTGCTGGCACCTGCCGAGAGTCACCCCAGTGCCCTGGCAGTCAGGGGTGCCTGGGCACAGCTGGGCAGAGCTTGTCCCGGGATGACATTGTCCTCCTCCTGTCCCCGCTGCTGGCAGGGCTCAATACCCCTGCCCTGAGTGGGCTGGCAGCTGTCAGATCAGAGCAGAGCCCAGCCACAGTTAATCAGGGGCTGCCCCTGCCCTCGGGGACAGCCTGGGCCGTGGGGAGCCGTGCGTCACACTCAGGGCTGCACTGAAGGGTCCTCAGAGGTGCCCAGGCCAGGCCCTACAGGGCACGGGAGCTGAGGATTTGCCAAGAGCCCTGATGTGTTCACAGCAGCCCCCTGTGTTGCCTTAATTTCCTCCAACACCCTCATTAACTGATCCAAGGGCTGGGACAGCTCAGCAGAACTCAGCCTGGCGAGGTGCCCTCAGAGGACATCCCAGGTGCCCGGAGCAGAGGGGTGGCTGCTGCTGCTGCTGCTCTGCCAGCACCCGGGTGCTCCGCTGCCTTCCATCCTTGTGTGCTCCTCCTGCCCTCTGCTCTGGGCCCCAGAAGCCCCGCTGTGCCCAGGGCCAGGTCAGGATCTCAGCAGTGGGCACAAGCACCAGCCCTTTGGCAACGCCCCAGGATCTGCAGTGCAGCAGCTCTCCTCCCACGCAGCCCAGGCTGTCGGCGATGCAGGCAGGGCAGGGCAGGCAGTAGTGGGGTGGGAGATGCTGCAGGAGCACTGGGAGACCCCTGCCACGGGTACCCCGTTCAGCTGGCACAGGCTGATCTAAGCTGGGGCTGCTGTGGATGCAAAGGGGATGAGTTGCTTTTGCCTGTGCTTCTGCCCCACCTTGGTGCTGGGAAGGGCTGCGAGGGGCTGGGGCATCCCACAGCCGGGTCCAGACCTCAGCAGCAGAGCCAGGAGGGACAGGGGTGGATCTTTCCCGAGGTCACCATCCTCACACGTGCTTTCTCTGCAGCAGTGTCTGGGAGTCAGGCAGCCACCTCAGCCCCGCTCCCCTCACCTCTGAGCTGCAGCACCCACGAGGTCCCTCCGCACCATAGAAGCTCTGGCTACAGCACCCCCACAATTCATTAGTCACCAAAAACATTTATTGACTAATTAGGCACAGGCAATCTGTCCACTCGGGCAGTGCCTCCAGCAGGATTAGGCAGGCTGCCAAGCAGCTACAAATGAGGGCTGCTAATTACCAGTAATTGCCCTGGCCTGGTCCTGCAGGCAACCCTGAAGCACCAGTGCCTGCACTGGGGTGCAATACAGGGGCCTTTCTCCCCTTTTGTGATACAATAGCCACAGGACAGTGGAAGAGCCCCAGAATTAAGGATTTGGAGCAAAGCTGGGGGCTGAGGCTGGATGGGAGCAAGTTTTTTGCCCCTTCTGCTGTTTTTCCTTACCTGCACCTCCCTCAGTTCCATCCTAGCCCTGCTCCTCAGTATTGAAAGGGCACTGAAGGAGTGCTTAACAATCCTGGCCTGAGACTGCTTTTTCCAGCAGTTTGGTTTATTTCTAGATGTCTCTCTGGTGAGGTTATTTCCAGTGTCACCCATTATCAGCAGCTGTCAACCCCTTGGTGTCTTTCTTCATGCCCCACATTCACATCCAGCTCTGCTTCCCCAAAAGCCTGGCTTTTGGCACAGATATGCTGCCAGTTTTGGTGTCCTGAAGCAGGATCCCTAGTGCAGGAGAGAGAACAAAGGCAGAACCCCCCCAACAGCACACAGGGATAGCAGCCAGGCCAGCCAGCAAATGGTTTTGATTCCTGAGGATTTCTTGCATCCCTAAAATAGGACAAGTTGACGTGACAATCCTGAAACAGCTCCTGGTGCAGCCAAGGGCAAACACTGCTGCTCTCCCCCAGCACCAGCACAGCAGAAGGGGTCACTGCATCTTCCAGGGCTCTTTTCCAGGGACCTTCTGGGTACAAGAGAATGTCATTTCCTGCTGCTCTTGACTTGGGGGAGAGGCAGCAGAGCCATTTTGCAGATAATTGTATATTCACTTGAGCTATAAATTATCATCTCATATTCCCAGCTTTACAACCCCACATACCCTCTATCCCATGGCCTGGTAGATGGGGTCTGATCTCTTAGCCCATCAAAGAGCTGGGATAAAACATCCCAGAATGAAAACAAATGCTCCTGCCTCCATGGACCTTTTGAGCAAGGCTTCAGGTGCCCACCCAAAGGATCCTCACCTTACCTGCTCTGTCTCTTCTTTCTCCAGGGCAGAAGTGTGAACTTTGGCTCTGCGGATGCGTCTTTACTTTGGCTGATGTCTTGTTAGGAGCCACCCTGCACCGCCTCAAGTTTCTGGGACTCTCTAAGAAATACTGGGAAGATGGCAGCAGACCTAACCTACAGTCCTTCTTCGACAGGATACAGAAACGCTTCGCCTTCAGGAAAGTTTTGGGAGACATACACACCACGCTCCTCTCTGCAGTGGTACCCAACGCCTTCAGGCTGGTCAAGCGGAAACCCCCCTCCTTCCTTGGAGCCTCCTTCCTCATGGGATCTCTGGGGGGAATGGGATATTTTGCTTATTGGTACTTAAAGAAAAAATACATCTAGTGCTGACTGCTTGGTGTTTAGTTTGGTGTCTCTGTGCTGTGTGAAATTATGATGAAGCCTCAGTAACTGTAATGAAATTTGAAGCAAGGTAATGAATAATTATATTGTTTAATGTAACATTCCATAGTCTAGAAGTAGAAACCTGTATTCAAGGAAATAAGACAACAACAACAACAACAACAACAAAAAAGTGTCAACTTGTAAATGCCTTTTTTAGGTTTAAGTGTTCAACTCCAGTGAGAGGCTCAGGGGTTCACGTGCCCACTGGGAAGCAACGCCGCCTCCAGCACCAGCTGGCTCCAGTGGGAGAGACAGGAATCCCAGGAAGCTTCCCAACACCCAAGTTGACTAATGGGACTTGGATACTTGGTCCTCTACATTTGTGTTTCCAAATTGTTCACCGGCCACATTTCACACATGCAGGTAGTGGGGACTTTCTTCTTCTAGAAGGCGTCGTGTTGTGCTCAGAGGCTTTCCTGGGAGCAGGGTGCAGTAGCTGGTCACAGTCAAGGTGGATTTCCATTCTTCAAGTATCCATTTTTTAAATTATTTTCATTGAAAGGAATATTTTTTATTGAGCTGCTCTTAGAATGTATCCACTTTCTACGTCTGGTTTCGGTGGGATTTTTTTTTAAGGAATTTAATGTCTGTCTTTAACTGCTGCACTTTTTTCTTGAGATAAATCATTTTGACTTCCATCCCGAATTTTGGCACACCAAGGAGTTTATTGGTTTAAGCCTTTTGGCTCCGTCTCTTGAGTTTTCCTTCACGGATTTGCAAAGCATCTTTCACCGACTGAGCATATGTGGACTCTGAAAAAGTACAACCATTTTCAGAACTTTTCAGCACTTTCCTGAAGGCGCTTTGGCTTTCTTCCATCCGGGGCTCCTTTCTGTCATCCCCTCGCTGTGTGTTTTCTTAGGGACACTTTGCACAGAATCACATTGATGACTTTCTTGTGCCTTTTGCATGCTGGAAAGAATAACGGGCCTCACTGCTACTCGTGCTTTGGAAACTGAGATCCTCAATAAACCATATGGGAGGAGTAACGGCCTCGCATCTCTGAATGTGTTCCACATCCTCCTTGTCCCAGTGCAAGGTGTGCCCAAGGGCAGCAGGGTGTGCAGGTGGTCAGTCCTTTGGCTCATGTACTGCACTGGTATAAAACTCACATGGAAACAGTATGTATTCCTCTTCCAAAGCACTCATTTCTGTAAGCACTCAGCCTGCTAGGATCTCCTCTGGCTGGCTTTCCGGGCACTCCAGTGATCTCTAGCGAACCATGCTGCATCTCCAGGCTTGGGAAACGTATGCCAAGTGTGGCTGAAATAATAGGAATTGCTTTTTCTCCAACTCAAAAGTTATCTTTATGTATTTGAAAGCAGCAAGCTTTCCCAGGAGATTTTAATACAACACAGCAGCCACAGAACTGGGAATATTTGGCAGGAATTACAAGGAATGAGCACGTAGTGATTAGACAGTGCAAAACACACACATTTATACTGTGCTTGTCACAGTCGTGTGGGCTGGCCTGACATACTCCTGGAGTACAACAGGCTGTGTAGCTGCAAAGGCTCTGTGTTACCCATGTTACCCCCCAGCAATTAGGGCTGCACCTAAAATTGGTGGGTGAGAACCCTAATCCACCATCAGCTCATGCACCTGCAGCTGAGGCTGCTGAGTGAAACCTTGCAGACACACAAGGTGTGTGTTTACATTCATGGTACCAATACATTCAGTGTTTGCTTCATGGTACCAATGACTTCAGAAGAAACAGTTATTTCCCTTCTTTTTGAAGAGGGAAGAAAGAGGGTGCCCTGAGGTCACTCCTTTTGCTGAATCTGAAAGAGCCAAGATGAACTATGGGTCATCATCTATTTGGTCCATTAACTGATCCTCACCTCGCCAAGGGTTTATAAAGATACACTGACATGAAACCCTTACCAGGACTTCATCCTTTTACCTTTGTCCGTTGTCCTACACACACACTCCCTGGTGATCTCCAAAAGCTGATAAAATGCACACACCAGGTGTAGAAAGGACTATTAACAGGGTATAAGTCCAGGAAACTCTGAGGGAAGGAGAACAAATACTTGCTCCATTCCTGGGATTTTAGCCCAGGAACAAGGCAGAAGGAAGCTGCTTAGCAGGACTGCTGCTGGTCACTTTGCTCCTCGATTTTTTTATTATTTTTTTTTTTAAACCTCAGAATAAATTTAAAATCATGGAGCAAATCAGAACTCTAAACACTGGAGAAAATAGGTGTTTGTTTTGCTTTGAGCACATTGTTAAAATACGACTGTTACAAGGAAACCAGACACATCCAGCAGCTGGAACCAGGCACAGGTTGGTTCAGATCCGTGTGTGACAGCTCTCACCTGTGCTGCACTGTGGGCTGCTGCTGGGAAGCCACAGATGCTGTGGTGAGGGGTTTTTTTACAAGTTCTCAGCTAGGAATAGTCACTAACAAGCCTTTGTTTTGTACCAAATTAAAAAGAAAGCAAAAATTGGTGCCACTCCCATCACTAAGCCTTGTTTCCCTGCCCGGGTAATGAAAAGGTAGCAGGACTTTGCTCCAGGGAAAAGCAATCTGTGAGAGCAATAATAGACAATTACTGTGGCAGGCAGAGGCTGGATTGATGTACAAGACCCTGGACCAGGAGAGGAATGTCAGTGCCTCGATCCATCCAGATCAGCCAGTTGCTGTAAGCAGCCCTGTGGTGATCACAGGCTGCCATCATAAAAAGCTGGTCTTGCTCTAGCTGATCTCAGCCTAATCAGACCTTTTCTGCTCTAGTTCCACTGCGAAGGGGAGCCCACCACATTACCTGGCCATGAGCCAGGCACTGGCCCGATGTTGGCTGCCCAGGGCATGCTCTGTACACAGAAATATGATAATGATGGCAAAAATCTGTTTTCTCACTCCAGGACTTCATGCTTTGCTCTCAGTGAAGTGTGGGGTAACACCAGCACTCGAGGGGTGAGGCTGGAAGGTGAGGCACCACAGAGGTGCTATTTTATACTTCAGACACCAGAGGGAACGGCTCCTGCTGCATCCTGCACCAAACACTCCTGTGTGCCTGATCCCACCCCAGCCAGGGTCCTTCTTAGGCTTTACTCTAGAGGTACTTATTTACACAAGCAAACTTTTATCCTTAAAAATCCCTGTGTTTTAGAAACAAATGCACTTTTAGGTACCTCAGGGCTTCCAAATCTGTATCTGTGCTGAAATGCAAAACTTCTAGTAATCAGAGGGAAGAAAGTCAGGGGCTTCATGTCAAGTTTAAGTTTCATTACACGGAGTGGGATCACAGGGAGAGGGCTCTCCCTCCTGCCTCCCAAGCCCCTGTCTAATGGGCTCCCAGTGGTCACATTTGCAGAGCTGCAGCTCCCGAAATCTTTTTACTCCCGCGGGATTTGCTCAAAAGACTCAATTATGAAAATTGAAAACGTTGGTGTCGATCTCGCAGCCGGCTGGCAGCTTTTCTCCTTTGCTTGGCAAGGGATGGGGAAGACTCTCCATGCAGAATAAAGGATTTCTACACCGAGCCTGCCAGAGGACAGGGAACACTGCACAGAGCCCGTCACAACCAGCCAAATAAATCGAGATCTGTGGCTGCCTAAGCATACCTAGTGACCATCTGGTGGCCCTCTCAGAAATTATTTACTGAGTCTTCCTCTGTTTCTGAATGGAAAAAACATCCTTATCACCCAACTGTAATTTCAGAATCCTGGCTAAGGAGGGAAGAGAGATGGTGTAAGGGCTGCTCCTTCCAGTGAGGGGAAACTTTCTTTCTGCTGGGAAAATAAATGAAGGTTTTCCCCACATAAGGATAGCAGACAGAAAACATTAAAGCTTGTGAAAATATTTAACATCAGGTTGTGTTTGGTGGCATTCACTGCCATCATTAAGATCAAAGCCAAAACCACCCAGACTGGATCCACAATGCAGGCAATGACAGCAGCTGAATTTCTCAGGCTTCAGAAAGATATATGGGATTAAAATAATATGAGATAATATGAAAATAGTATTTTGAGAGGGATAATATAAAATATGATAATATGAGATTAAAAACTAAATAACCAAAGAACCAGTAAATCATGGACAAACCTAAGAGCCAACTACAATAAGCCCCTATCTGCACTTACCTTTGGCATAGCAGAGGATAAAAGGACAGTTTCACAGCTGTTCACACCATCAGCAAAGTTGTTCTTGCTGCACGAGTCTGTAGAAAAAAAAGCTCCTTCTGCTATGGTGGGACAGAATAAAGTCCCCAGTCCTCCTCATCCCACCCCATCCCATCCAGCACCCAGAGAAAAGTTCAAACCCACGGGTATGAATGAGAGTGAAAACATCTGTGTATGTGGTAAACAGGAATAGATTTGTACCCATGAAGGATTTCCTAAAGCAGGGCCTCAGTGGACAAATTGTAGAGGTTTCACACCAAGCCATTCTAATTCTGATTCTAAAGTTCTAAACAGTAGCAAAAACACACAGGAACTTGTATCTCAGATGAAGCCCATTCATGACAGACATATTTCCTGTTCTTTCTCTCAGGCTGATCCCCAACTGTGCCCAAATGATATGTTCACTATCATTGTCTTTCCTTCTCCTTTTAACACACTTTCCTCTGAAGGATTAAACAGAGAGAAAGCAGCCTGCACTGAACAGCTCCCAGGGAAAGCAGGAATACCAGCTATGCCATAAATAATGTGGATGCAGAATTGCTCTGCCAGAACACAGGTGTCCCTCCCTGCAGCAGCTGTGGGTACTGTGCTGCTGGCCAGGCTCTACCTGCAGAGAGCAGATTATTTCTGCTTCCACATCACTGGTGCTGAAGAGCATCAGTGAGCTAAGTGACAACCTCCACCCACTCCTCAGGAGGTCACAGTAGGTTTTTTCTTCCTTTTTGTCCCCTCTGCACAGTGACCTACTTTCAGCCCCGTTTTTCTTTTCCCCTCTGTGCTGTGCTACCCCTTTCCTCTCTCCTGCACTCCCTGATGTCCCTCCCCTGTCACAGGCAGCTGGAGACGTGTGACCACCTTCAGACTCGTTTCTGTTGTCAGGGGCCCACGGGCTGGGAGTCCTTCATCAGTGGACACAGCACCTCCCATTTCCACCTTCTGAAGATGAATTGCTAAGAAATGAAGGAGATGGGATCTTGCTAAAAACCTCTTATCAAACAGCACAGATCAATGGCTTAGAAAACATTTCTTTAAAAATAACACCATCCACCCCCCTACCTTCATTGCCTCCTGCCTCAGCCCTTTCCTAGCAGCACCTCATCTCTCCAGCGACCTAAATCCTTTTTAGCTCCAGGAGAGTTATCCAAATAAAGCTACTTTGCAATCAGAACAGAGTGTAACCAGGTTTGAGGGTGCTGTGTAATGCTGCAGGCAGTTCTTGACACAGAACCAAGTATCCTGCATAGTTAAGTGCTGTTTTGCACATGCTCTTTACATCACAAGGTCGTGTCACTCCACCACCCCCCTCCTGAACGCTCCTCTATTTTCGATTACTGAAAGCAATTTCTTTCCATTCCATGCCCTTGTAACCAACCACTACACAACAGCAAACAGAGAGGATGCTTGGCCACAAGGAAAAAAAAAACCACAAACAAAAAGGTCTGAAAACAAACAAACAGAAATCCCCAGGAAACAAAATAAACAAAAAACCCACCATTGGCGTAATTTTTTCTCTTAACTTCTAAGAACAATCAATAGCAAAAAACCCCATATATACTTAAAAACCTTCTGCAGGGCTTTCTCCATCACAGCCAGCTCTCCTGAGCCACAGCCCACTGAGCTGAATTCTCCTCGGTGGTGAGTCAGGACCTGAAGCCTGTCACAGATACAGTCACAACACGTGTCACCTCCCGGCACAGTCCCCACGGGACGGGGAAGGCTCTGCAGGGTCACGGGACGGGGGAAGGCACTTCTCAAGAGCTGACATTTACCTTGAGGATGTGCCTCGTTATTGCTCTGGCACCGCCCGTGCTTCCCACAGATTAAAGGCATTAAATGAGGGAACACACGACCCAAAGCTGCAAAAAAATGAACCCAGACTGGACACGGAAAAGGCTTCAGAGGTGTGTGAGAAAAACATAATCATCAGTTGTATTTATTCTTGTTCCACACTTTCCTGTCTTCAGCCTTCACCACTGGGGAGATCCTCAGAACAGCTGCAGATCTTCTGCAGTTGGACACCTTGTCTGGAAAAGGGTATTTTTCTGAGTGATGATTTAACGTGACATCCAACCCTCCTGAAGGGCTGGTAAAGCTCTTCACCTACCTCTTAATTTCTGTGCCATGTTATAGTCCCAAAGCTTTATGGAGAAGTTACTCAGCTTGTTCTGATGCACGTGGCATTGCCTGTGTTTTGTAATGGGCAGGAGGCAGCTTAAAAATAATCTTTCAGACTAAATATTACAATTACATAATTGGCTGAAATTTCATGGCCTGCACTCAGCCCTGACAGTCACTTGCATTTTTGCTCTTCCAGCTTGTAACCTTTATGCTCTCATTCCATACCTCATTTAAGCACTAAGGTACTCTTCCCATATTAAAATTAATAACTTCCTGCTAAACACCTCAGTGAAGCCACCCTTTACTGAGGAGCAGTGATTACTCCCCAACAACAACTGTAACTCTACTAATATATGAGCTGTACTGCCACCTCTTTCCTTCCCCAAGCTCAAGCACATTACATGTAGTTCTGCTTAAATAAATGAAGCATGTGCTATTTTCCAGGTAAACACCATTACAGTGACAGACCAGCTCTGTTTAACCACAGCTAAACACGAGTTCAGAGTCACAACAGCCTTTCTTTGCTTCTATTAATTGCTTTCATCTTGAGCTTTGTCAAAGTACTTAAAAGAAGGGAAGGCAAAATACAGAGAGAGAGCACACATCAAGCAGAGGTGAAGAGCATTTATTACTAATCTGTGCTCCAGGAGGAGAGACGGAGCTATGAAAAGAAATAATCCCAGGAAACAGGTTTCTGAGCAAATGGAGATAAACACAGGCTGATCAAAGAGCTGGAAAAGGCCAATTGCAGAGAAGCTGCAGGGATTTACTTTAAGCTACAGTGGAAAAATCAGATACTGTTTCACTGAGAGAAGTGACCATAGACTTGTGCTCACAACTAAAGGCTGATTTTCCAAATGTTTAATCTACCCCAGCAGCCTGTTACAGTTCTTCCCATTAAAGTGCACCTCAGGGCATGACTGGGTGTTTCTCACTCTCCTGAGTTGCCACACACCAAAACAGAAAACAGGATTTTTTTTTTTTTTTTTTTTTTGTTTTGCAGCCACCCACAACCTAAGTCTCAGCACACACAAATAAATTGGCAAACCAGGAATATCATTTAGCACCAGCTGAAGGAGCGTTCATGGACCAGGTTTGCTTTGAACAAAGATCTTTGAGGAAGAATCAAACCCTGGGCTCAGGTGTGTTTAAAGTCTGAACTCTCACGTGGCTCTTACGAAAGACCTGAACTTTCCTGTTTGCTGGTCTTGCCTCCAGTGATGCAAACACTTGAATGAGTCCCAGGTAAGTGAAGAGTGAAATGAATCCTAAGCCAGTTACTCATCCCACTGTGTTCCAACCAAGACTCCTTTCCTTGCTGTTCCCAGCAGAGGAAAAATTTTAAGGCACCAAGACTTGCCTTGGCCACATCAGCCAGGCCAAATGCTGCTTCTGTGAAAGAACTGTGACACAGAGCCCAAAAACAGGCCAAACACAGGCAGTGAAAAATTAGCAGAAAGATGTTGAAATAAATAATATGCTAGTAAGATCTTGGGAGACAAAAATTCCCAAAGTAATTCTACAGACACACAAATACAGCTCTGTGGGAATAAGAGGGATACTTTAATGCAGAAAAGCAAAAAAACCAAAACAACCTAGAACATGAAACAAGTCAGTAATACCTGTCGACAGCTGATTTGTGTCCTTTGGCACAGGACAACAAATCCAGTTCCTCCCAGCACTGCTTCTCTGTGGCTACAAACCTGTTGTAGAGGCTGCATCTTTATTTTAATGATAAAAGTGCATCTGGGAGAGGAAAGGAAGTCAGACAAACGTGATGGGAAACACGTGAGCAAGAGATTTGCAACCTTTAGTTTCCAGCTGAAGTGCAAGGAAGCAGATTCCTACTCTGGAATAGACTCAAAAGGCACAAAGAAAGGTCTGGAGCTCAAGGGAACTCTCTAAGGCAAGAGCTGGCACACGGTCTCTGGGTACTGAGAGAGACATCAAGATTTCCAAACTCATCAGCATTCCTACAGCCCATGGGAATTTTCCCAGATATTTCACTGGATTAGGCTTTCACTTTGCTACAATAAACCACTGAGCATGTCTACAAAATGAGCTGCCTGGTGTAACAGGCCCACATTGGGAAACTTGCTTTAGTCAGCCATGGCTTTGTTCCATTTTGTTTCTTTTTATACCCTGCACTCCTGAGAACCTGTGCTCTGTTAACCCATTCAAATACTGCAGAATTATCAGTGTCAGTTGGATCACACAGTTTGACCAGTTTGTCTCAGCAGTCACAAACACACAGGCAGGCTGGATCATCCAGGGAAATGAAGAGCAACAGCAGCATCTTTACAGGTATCAGAAATGGATTCTCAAAGACACAAACACTGATAAAGTTTTCAAATGTTTTTCTTTCATTGTTTAAATAAAAGTTTTGAGACTAACCATATCCCACATTATTTCCATTAAAAAAAAAACCAAAACAATCTGTATGACACTGGTTAAAGTGGACAAAAACATCCACAGTGATTGCACAAAACGTTTGTGAAAATGAACAACATTTCAGCAAGTCAGTTGGTTTAAGCAAACAGCATTTCTTGTTCCAAGGGCTTGTCTCTACAGCAAAGTTACATAAAGATAACCTAAAATAGAAACTTAATGAAATTAATCACAAAACCTTCTGGGTATATAATCCTTTTTCATGGTGAGAGTGGCTTGAGGTCTATCTTAACTCTACTGGGAGCAGGCTTACATTACATCAAAAGAATGTCTGCAAATAAATTTGCATTGTTCAAACAAATTTAGTTAAACCCAATATGAGTTAATCAGTGCAATTTTCAAAGAGTCAGCTTAAAAGGCAATTTAATACAAAAACCAAGAGGAACTTGACAGAAAATACACAACCCCCTGGACAGCTTCTTTCCAAGAGGTGATTTGTTCTTCCTAAGGACACACAATGACTCCCACTTGCCACTGAACTCAGTGGGAATTCCAGTGAATTCAGCTCTGCTCAGAGGCAGAACCCAGCATGGAACTAACCCTGCTGCATTAACTGCAAATGCTTCCACTCTCTCGCTGGAAGGGAGATGTGGATATGGCAAAATGTGCCATGATTAACCTCCAGTGCCTCACACCCTGTATTCAGCAAACAGTCACTCTGGAGCCACACCAAGCCCGCTCTGGGGTCAGTGCAGGTGCCCACAGACCTTCCTGGCTGTCTTGCTCATCACTGTCAAACACATTTTGTGCAACTGCGTCGCAAATGAGCCTTTGTCAGAAAATAAAAAGCTTTTCAAGATAAAAACTATGCTAAACATCTAACTGATATGATGAATAAACCCATCTCACCCCTATTCATTATCTAGTAATAGTGTTTTATTCAGTAGTGGGTTTCCAGCCACAACAAAAGTGGCCACGGCTTTCTGTGCAACCAAAATTAAGTAGCTTATTGATATTGCTGGATAAGCAAGAACAAATATTGCTTCAAGCACACTCTGCTTTGCAGCTCCCAGGATAAACAATGCATTTCACTCATTACCAAGCAGGCTATTTGGGAAATAGCAGGCTAAGCTAGCTTGTTCAGAACACCAGATTTTCATTGTTCTTCTAGAAGAAAGAACAAAAAAACCAAAGAAATTGTTGTTGCAAAGTGTGCAACTCGCTAGATTCTTAAAAAAATTAAAATCCCAATCCTCATAACTAGATTTTTTAGTAAAACTTCAGGAAGGAGTTTGTTTTTTTCCTCTCAAGAATAAAATCACAAAATATTGTCTCTACTTCACCTAAGGAGAAAGTTAAGGCTTGTTTTTTCAAGAATTTCCTTTTCAGAGGCAGGCAAGAATTTAAAGTCACAGTCTGCTTAAGAGATTACATCTCAGATTTACTCTCTGTTGCAGGAGGTGCAGACAGCTACGAGGCTTTTGTGGCAAGTTAGTGTTTTTAACACTTGAAAACACAGGATGTTCCAGTTTCACAACAGGACTGCTTTAACAATTGATATTTTTGCAATGTCATTATTAGAGCTTTCCCATAAGGCAATATAAAGAGGAACACTACAAAAAAAGTATAAGGTTTGGATCATCCACAATATTTTGACATGAACCAAAAAGAAAGAGGGAGAATTAATTGTGATCAGTCAAGCTCTTAAAGAGCAAAGGTCTCTGTTGGCCTTGGGTCTGCTCCTTCATTTATTAGTAAGAGAAACAGATTCAACTTCTGATTTCTTTGCTGACAATGCCAGTCATCAGCTCCTCAACAAAAGCAGACATCTTCCAGTACCATTTTTTTTTTCTCCCAAGGAAGAAGCTCATTACCACCTGCCAGCCACTGGCTAGTACAGATTTGGTTTCCTCCAACCCATCACCTTGCTCCTTACAGTGGAAATACAGTAACCATTCCTACATTCAACTACTCCAGTACTGAAAGCAAAATCCAAACTATTTTAAAAACCCCACTTTATCTGCTATAGCTGTATTTCTTTGAACTCAAAGGTATATTTGGAAGAGGTAGTCCAGGAGAAAAGGGTTTCAGATACCAAAACCTGTACGTGCCATACCAGCCCGACAGACCTATCAGCACACCGAGAAGCTTTTGACTGAAGTCGTGGAAGTACAGGGCAGTACAGAGGAACATGAACACCCAGATCACGGTGAGGAGACACAAGGAGACGAACAGCACGTTGACCACCACGCGCAGCCTCGAGCTGTGGTCCATGGACAATCCCTCCAGCACGGCCACCTCCTCCAGGATCATCAGGGCGCAGTAGGAGAGCAGGAAGCAGTGCCCCGAGATGTCGAAGCCGTTCCAGACCCCGCTGTCCTGGTGGCATTCCCGCTTGGTGGCGTAGAGCCGGGGGGCATCCCCGGGCTTGGCGGGCACGGAGCACTCCCCGGTGAGGTTCTCGATGTACACGAAGAGCTGGGTGCAGCAGAACCACACGGCCGTGCCCACGGCCAGCCCGCTCAGCCGCCGCAGCGCCAGCAGCGTGCTCCGCGTGCGCCCGTACAGCAGCTTGGTCCGGGCCAGCTGGTACGAGGTGAGAGCGATGAAGGGCAGCAGCAGCCACAGGGTCCAAGCCCAGGCCACCTTCACGAAGTACCTGCCAGAGACAAAAGGTGAAAGAGCACCTGTGAGAGTGTGAGACGAGCGCCAGCGAAGCTCCACGGAGGCTGCGGTGCTGCGGTGCTTCGAGTCGTCAGGATCAGTGTTCGGAACCATCCAAACGAGACACTTGTGCCCTCCCCCCAAAGCACAGCACAGCTAAAATCTTAACCCTCTCCCCAGCACTTCCCCAAGGCCCAGCACCTGAACACTTTCCCAGCCAGGTCCTCTTCCCTCAGGCAGCGTTCCCCTGGCCCCAGCGTTCCCCTGGCCCCAGAGCCCTCATCTGTTGCAGCAGACTTGCAGTTCAGTTTTGCAATCACTTCGACCCTACAAACCCGCTCAACTCTGCCCTACTCAAAATGCAGCTGCAAAGGATGTATTTTTAGCTTGCCACCCTGACCATAGTAACCCTTTCTCTGACCCTTCCTCTGTCTCAATTATCTTTGCTTCCAAAGCCCTTCAGAACCTCAACCTCTTAACACCGAGACAGCCAGAAGGGCTGGTTCTTTCCCCTAATCAGTCCATGAAGCTTTTCCTCCCTCATGTCCTTATAAATAAATGAAGCAGCACAATATTCCTTTGCCATCCTCTCAGCTGCTGAGAGCTTTCCTTTGGCTTACACAAATCCTTCCATCTCTTAAATTTACCCTCTGCCTTGAAAATGCTGGAGACAGCATTGTGTAACTAGTCCTCTTTTCAAATCTTAAAGTGGAGCGTTTGCAAGTGAATTTACTAATGAGTAAAGGAGGCCACAGTCCAGGATTTTCTTTCTCCCATCAGCACCTTCCACTGGATTTTGCTTTCTATCAGCTGGTGGGAAACAGGAATTGTGCAGCCCCCTCGTTACCCAGAGCCTGGTTTGAAAACAGAGACAGCAGAATTCTGCTCTGTGGCTGAGCTGTGGCCAGACACACACAGTCCTCATTTAATCCTCATCTCAGCATCAAAGACAAAGCCAAACAGGACTAGAGCTCTGTATCTTCCTTAAGACCCTGACAAAACTGCCAGGGTCTTGCCCAGGATTTTGAGGAGTTCCTCCTTCACTCTTTAATTTTACAGAAGTGACATCTGTGCAGCAACTACAGCTGCTACCATGGAATAGTAATTGAAAATAAAATCCCCATTTTATTTAAAAGCAAAATAGGCTTTACTTTCAACTTTACTGCTGACAAACCAGCAGGCAAGTAATTTGTAGAGATAAAAACTTCCTTCAGGAACTGTCAGTGCAGATCACCTTCCTCTATTTAAGAGGCAGAGCTGAACTGTAGTATGCTTTTACTGTAAGATCAATTTTCTCTAAGTCTTCCTGTCAATGCTCTTTCAATCACACTAAAAGCAGCTCCTCTCCTACATGTCACCAAATGACAGATCTGAATCAATAAAGTACAAAACACAGGGGAGAACAGCAATTTTAGCTTCACTTTCTGACCTGCAGCAGGTAGAGCACACGTGCTCTGGCCCAGCTCATCACTTCCTCATGCCCTTCCAAAACGCTCAAACGCAGTTTTGCAGAATGACTAAGGCAGTTAAGTCGTTGCCCAAGTGCTAAAAGAGGATGGCTGTCACTCTGCTTCTAGGAAAGATGCTAAAGGGGAGTGGCTGGGCACTGACCAGGCTCCCCAGGGCAGTGGGCACGGCCCCAGGGCTGCCAGAGCTGCAGCAGTGGATTGTTGGAGTGTCCTGTGCAGGGCCAGGAGCTGCACTCGATGATCCCTGTGGGTGCCTTCCGACTCAGCACATTCTATGATTCTATTATTCTAAAAGACTTACTTTCTGCAGCTCAGAAAACTATTTTCTTTACAGATCAGTTCACTCAAACACGAGGAATTACTTGGGAGTTACAGAAAGAAAAAAAAAAAAATTATCCTTCCTCCCCTCACCCTTTCCAATAAAAACCGAGCGAGAAACCCCTCGAGGTCTTGAAACCTCCCAGCCCTGCAGGTCGTCGCGGGTGTTGAGATCTCACGGGGAACATCACATTTGAACCACAGAAACGCTCATTTAAAGCACAGAAACACACTTTTCAAGCCCAGAAAAATCAATCTGAAGCACAGAAACACTCATTCGAACCACAGAGACACCCATTTAAAGCCCAGAAACACCAGACTGAAGCCCAGAAACACCAGACTGAAGCCCAGAAACACACTTTTAAAGCCCAGAAACATCCATTTGAAGCACAGAGACACCCATTTAAAGCACAGACACATCCATCTGAAGCACAGAAACACCAGTCTGAAGCACACAAACATCCATTTAAAGCCCAGAAACACCCATTTAAAGCCCAGAGACATCCACTCGAAGCCCAGAGACATCCACTCGAAGCAGAGAGACACACATTTAAAGCACAGAAACACACATTCGAAACACAGAAACACCCATCTGAAGCACAGAGACACTCATTTAAAGCCCAGAAACATCCATTTAAGGCACAGAAACACCCATTTAAAGCACTAACCCCCCTCGCAGCCCCGACCCACCGCGGGTCGGGCCGAGCCCCGTGTCCTCCCCGGACCCCCCCAGGCCCCACCGCGGGCTCCCCCGGGCCCCTCCTCACACGTTGAGCGGGTTTCGCTTGTTCCGCAGCGGCGTGTCGGGCACCAGCTCGCTGTCCTTGAGCGCGGAGCCCAGCAGGGCGATGGCGAGGAGCGCGGCGGGGAGGCGGCGGCGCACCCGGCCCCCGGCCAGCGCGGCCCGCAGCCACCGCCCGCAGCGCTCCAGCCGCTCCATGGCGGGTCCGCCCGGGCCGCGGATCCGCCGGGACCGCCCCGGGCCCTCCTCCGGTACCACCCCGGGACCACCCCGGGACCTCCTCCGGGCCCTCCCCCGGTACCGCCCCCGGTACCGCCCCGCGGGCGCCCCCGCCCGGTACCCGCCGGCAGCGCGGTACCCGGTACCCGCGGCCCCGCGCCCTCTGCAGGGACCCCGCGGGAGCGGATCCGCGGGAGGGGAGAGCCGCGCTCAGCCTGCTTCTAAAATCAATTAGCCTGAAAGATTTCAGCTTGAATCAGGCTGAGGTTTGGCGAGGTTAAGGAAAAAGATACAGTGAGAGGGAAGGACAGCCACATCTGCTGTACCTGACAAAATAATTTGGTTTAGCATGGTTTATATCTGTCAGAGCTTGACCAAGTGTGTTTTCCCTCGCTCGCCTGTTTAAAGCGAGAACGCACACGCGCTTCTGCATCCGCTTCCAGGCGGCGCGATGTTGCCGGAGCAGAGCATCAAGAAGAGATGCTCCAAAAAATACACATATATATATATATATAATATATATATTATGTATATTAAAAATACATATACACTTATATTTATAATTTTATATATTTTTATATTTTTATAATCCCATATTTTTATATATTTATATTTTATCCATTTTATATATTTATAAATTTCTCTATTTTTCTATATTTATAATTTTCTATATTTTTATATATTTTCTATATTTATAATTTTCTATATTTTCTATATATTTTTATCTATTTTATATATTTATAAATTTATCTATTTTTCTATATTTATAACTTTTTATATTTTTATATATTTTCTATATTTATAATTTTCTATATTTTCTATATTTATAATTTTATCTATTTTATATATTTATAAATTTCTCTATTTTTCTATATTTATAATTTCATATATTTTTATATATTTATAATTTTCTATATTTTTCTATATTTTCTATATTTATAATTTTCTATATTTTTCTATATTTATAATTTTATCTGTTTTATATATTTATAAATTTATCTATTTTTCTATATTTATAATTTTATCTATTTTATATATTTATAAGTTTCTCTATTTTTCTATATTTATAATTTCATATATTTTTATATATTTTTCTAAATTTATATATTTTTATATTTTTATACATTTATATATATTTTATATATATTTATATTTTTTTTAGATGCAGACTTATATATTCAGTTCAGAGTAACTGAACTCCTGTTCGGGTGCCAAAGTCTAAGCATCTGTTCATTTACAAAAATGACAAAAGCTTGCCGAGGGCTTTTGTTTCTAATGGAATTGCAACATTTTAATAATGAATGTCTTAAAAACAACTAAAATACAAACTTTAACCACCAGCTTGAAAAGCAGATTCTGCTCCTAAGGGAAGTGGCATTAAACATACAAGGAGTTTTGAACAGGACCCCAGAGTTACCAGGGAGTGTTAGCAGCTCTCACTGTCGTTGGTTGCCCGAGGGAAGAGATCAGTGTGTGCCCCACAACTTCCCCTCAGGAGGAAGCTGTAGACTGAGATAAGGAATCACAGAATCATTTAGGTTGGAAAAGAACTATAAGATTGCCACTAACTGTTAACCCAGCACTGCCGAGCCCTCCACTAAACCATGACCCCAAGCACCACATCCACATGGCTTTCAAACCCTTCCAGGAATTGTGACCCCACCACTGCCCTGGGCAGCCTATTCCAATGCTTTATAGCCCTTTCTGTGAAGAAAGTTTCCCTAATTTCCAATCTAAACCTGTCCTGGTGCAACTTGAGCTTGTTTTCTCTTGCCCTATAAAAGAGCATCCAAACTTCCAAGTAGGGTGGCAGCACCTCTGAAAGAGAGGGTCTAACCATGATACTCAAGAGGAAATCTGAGAATTTTCTTGCTCAGTAGAATTGTTTTAATTTCTCCCAGGGCTTAAGAGAGAGGGAGAAAGCATTTCTGGAGCTGTTAAGGCTCCCATGCCTTTTCACTGTCCATGTTTGTGGCTGAAAGTGGTGTCCAAGCACTGGCTGTCACTGTGGTATTTGAGACCTATTTCATCTATTGAACAGCTGCCGCTGTCATTTCAGCTTAGTTTTTAAAATACAAAAAAAGCATCAGCAAGCAGAGAAATGGCTCAATGAACAAAGGGCCTTTATTCATCCCAATGGCCTTAGTAAGAAAAATGTGAGAGCGGGGGAAAAAAAAGCAGGCCCTATCTGAGACAGGATGGGAAAGTGTTTCTTGCCAGAGCACATTTCAAAGCTGTTTCACCGTCATCATCGTCAGCAGATCCATGACAACATCTGGGCTGAGAGGGCAGAACGACACATCAAAGCAGCCCCAGCAGATATGGGGTGTTTCAACTAAGGAGGTTATCCAGGGTAAATGGCATTTGGCAATTTATTAGAGGTTGTTTTTAATAAGGCTGCCACGGCCTCGTCCAGCACTCCCAGCCCCGGCATCGCACCCCCAATTAGAACCGACAGGCAGCTGCGTCCACTCAGACGAGCGAGGATGAGAGGGGCTGGGAGCAGGTTTCACAGAGTCCGTCATTGTCTGCCTAAATCCCCTCTGCCTTTGAAACCGTGCCTCTCCTGTGCTTCCCAGGTTTGGGCCCGTGATCCCCAGACTGTTTGCAGTGCCGGCGCTGGAGGTGGGAGCTGCTAATGAAGCGTGCTGTGGTGTCTGCCACACGCAGCAGGATTTCGTAAGCTTGGCACCTGCTCCAGATGAATGGGAGTTGATGGCACGGGCTGGAAATGTGTCTATCCCCAGCCCAGCTTGAAATGTCTGAGGATTATCTCTGTAAATCACCGATTCTCACAAGTGCAGTGAGCAAAGCTCAGCCGGGTCCAGGTGTTCTGCAGATTTAGAGTAAATCTCTACATTCAGGCTGTGTTTTTGCTGCCATGGGCACCAACCAAGGCCAACAGTCCTGCTGAGGAACCGACTGCCATTCCTCTGTAAAGAACCAGAGAAGCAGAATTTAGGCCTTTTAAAACTGCAGAAAAAGGTTTTAATCATAAGTAGGGAATAAGGTTTGCTTTAAAGGGATTGCAGAAGGTTCCTAAAGAACTCTCACAGACACTTGGTCAAGCTGTGACAGATATAAACCATGCTAAACCAAATTATTTTGTCAGGTATAGCAGATGTGGCTGTCCTTCCCTTTTACTGTATCTTTTTCCTTAACTTTGCCAAATCACAGCCTGATTCAAGCTGAAATCTTTCATATTAATTGATTTTAAAAACTGTTTTCAGGTTTGGGATTTTTTCCTTACTTATTTTGAACCAAGACCTCCAACAAATCACTTCTCTTTGAGAAATCCCACTTTGCCTCTAAAATCCACAGGGATAGATTCACTGGAGGCTGAGATTTCTGGGTCCACTGCTCTGTGTTGCGACCAAAGAAGGATGCCTGGAGAGAAAAGTTGCACAAATTTTGTTACAAAACACACACAATGGTTTTTCTACCCCTGTACTGGCCATTCACTTAAGGGTTGGACTCGATGATCCTTGTGGGTCCTTTCCAACCCCAATATTCTGTGATTCTCTAACTCCAGTTTGGGCTAAGGTGGGTTCTCACAGCCCAGTCGAGACCAGAGGGAAGGTGTGCTCCAGGGGCACAGAAGGAGATGGTGGGTGCCCATCCAGGCATCCAGCCCATCAGGACTGGCAGAGCCACCAGCCTGTGCCCACACACTCAGTGGGAATGACCTACCCCTCTACTAACAGCCCATTTGGATCTGGGAGACCTGCTTTCTTCCCAGCTTGTCCTCCTCCTCACAGCAATTCCCACAGCCCTCTGGCACCTGCTCACCCACCCCTGCCTGCCCAGGGGCCCTCACAGCCCCCAGCCCTTCCCCTGGAGAGCCAGGTGCTCATGGCAGCTCATTCCTGCCAAGCCCCCCCTGCTCTCTGTTTTCCTTGGTGGATTCTGCTCACATCTCCATGATTGATCGTGTTTGAGTTTGATCCCGGAGCATCCCAGGGTGTTTGCATGAGAGGTGCTACATAAGCATAATTTGGGCTGAATTTTCTTTGCCTAATGGGAGCTTAAGCCTGGAGTTGAAGATAGTTTTGGCCCTTTGCTGAGACGCTGTTCATCAAAGTCAGTGGTTTGAGCTCCGCAGCCTTCTCTATTCACTGTCGGCTTAGAAAAAAAAGATTAAAAAAATAATATTGTGCTTTGTTCCCTTGTGTCAGTGATGCCTTTGAAATGCAGCCCAGGGTGGAGGCATAGCAGCCTTTCCTTCACAGGGGCCTGGATCTTTGCTGCCCATCTCTGATGGGAAGGGATTCTCTTCCTACGAGCCCCAGACTTGTCATCGGTCCAGGCAGACCCAAGGCTGACCTGGGAGTGGATGATGTGCTATTTACAGTGGAGATGCTGAGTCGAGACACAGAAAAAAGACACTGGTAACTCACCACCTGTGTGGCTGCACAAATTAATGGGAAAGGTCTTTCCCTGTGCTGAAACCCCAAGAATTTTAGAAAAAGGTGTGGAAATTAACCCCAGACAATTTGTACAGACTGAACCATTGCTGAGCCCAGGCTGAAAACCTCTGCAGGTTACACATTTCCCCTCTGACTCTCCTAAATTGAATAGGAAGGGTATGATCTGAGCTGCAGGGAATTTGCAGCTTGTTTGGTGGTTACATCCAAAGATTAAAATATTTTGGCATATGGGTCAAAATATAAGAAAGAGCCAATTCAGTTTTCAGTGGCTCATACTTTATTAATGCTACAAATTAATACCTACTGCTACAAAATATTTACACTTCTTGCTTGGCACAGCCAGATCACAGCAGAGCAGACTAATGATGGGGTTTAATTCACAGGAGAGAATGGTCTTGTGATGGGCATGGACTCTGGGGAGCTGGGTTTCATTTGTGACTGACAAACTCCTTCTCCAGCCATAGAACACATAATCTCTGTGTCCCCACACCCTGAAAAGAATACAGGACAGGTTCTGTTCTTCTCCTTCCTGAAGTTCTTTCAGAGAAAATGGC